CAATATTATTTTTCAAAAACTTATATCTGGCAATATTATTTTTTTCAAAATCGTATAGCTGGCAATATTAAATTTCAAAAACGTATAGCCGGCAACACTATCCTTTCAAAAAAACGTATTGCTTTTGGACGCAGTTCATCGTCTTATCCAGAACGCGGATGTAGTTTATCGTCATACCCAGGACGCGGATGTAGTTTATCGTCATACTCAGGACGCGGATGTAGTTTATCGTTATACCCAGGACGCGAATAAATGTCAAAGAATCAAAGAAAAGAAATATAACAGAAAAAAAAAACGTAGAGAAATGCATAATAGCAGACTGTTAGGTAAACATGCGTAAATCGAAAAGAACCTTAAAATAGAAACAAGGAGAGAGGGACACATAATTATTTTGAGATTATTTCGTAAAAGTAAAACTAAAAATAAGAGAAAGGAATGGAGGTAGAAGTAAAAGAATTAAAGGAATGGAAACGTCTTTAAAATAACGAAATAAGAAAAAAGAAACACTGTTAGGGAAAAATCTAAACAAAGAGTGAATTTTGACGAAAGAAACCCCAAATATTGAAGAAAGTCGAAAGTTCGAAAAATCTCCGTTTTAATCACCCCCGAATCAACACGCCCTTCCTGCTCTCCTCCTCCCACTATCAATATTCAGAAAGAAAATCATCCAGTCAGCTTTCTAAAAAAAAAAATCGATCTGTCTGGTTTTCATTCGCCAGCCTCTCTTTACTGACTCAAGCTTTCTCACTAACCGTTACATATGAACCCCGACCCTTTGCAATACACGCCGATGTATGAAAGCAAGATGAAGGGCGCCGGTGTATTCGCAATAGTGTTTTGTTCTCTAAGAATTGCGAGATGAAGACCTTGTTAATATTTGACGAGTTCTCTGACCCCGGGCGTCAGATACTGGCGAAGGGGTAAAGCACTATCAAATATTCAAGGGAATCGATAATCTGATACGGTTTCGGCTGTTCACACGTCGAATTGGAAAGATTCTATTGATTTTTAATACCCGTCTGTCTGTCGGACTCGAGTGGTTATTCACTTGTTATTTCAGACCTGCGAATATTATCAATGGAACTATTCTGTAAAGGAGTTTGATTGTCGATCCAATGTGCCCGCAAGATGTGGTAAATGGTTTGAAAGAAGAAGAAAAGTAAAGGTCGAAAGAGCTAGGTTTATGGTGCAACGGAAGCGTCATTGGTTGAGATCAAGGCCAGTGATCTCTAGTTTGCTTCATTGAAAAATATCAGATTCAAACTGAGTTTTCAATTAGTAGCTTCTGTTAAACGTTTCCGACAAAAGAGACTGGAACGCAGAAGATACGTTCCTTAGCTTTTGTTCAGAACTGACAGCTCAGTGGTAAGGGAAATGAAACAGCTGTCAGAAAATTTACTGTGCAAGTCTAGATGTATGTTGCGCAAATACGAATATAATTAAATTGATTTATTTGTTGATTATTGATATTTAATAATGAATAATCAAATGTTTATTATTAAGAATCATTAAAATGATCAAATTATTGAAATTATTAAACCATTAAAATTATTAAAACATTAAAATTATTAAAAATCGTTAAAAATTATTAAAATGATTATTGTTAAAAATATAATTATCAAATTATTATTAAAAATGATTATTATTAAAACTCAAATGATTATTAAGAAGAGACTAATTCGCAGAAGTTACGTCCCTTAGATTTTTTCCCAACTAACAGCTCAATGGTAAGGGAATTGAAACATCTGCCAGAATATTTATGGTGCAAATCTAGATGCATATTGCGCAAATACGAATATAATTAAATTGATTTATTTGTTGATTATTGATATTTAATAATGAATAATCAAATGTTTATTATTAAGAATCATTAAAATTATTTAAATTATTAAATTATTAAAATTAATAAATCATTAAAATTATTAAATTATTAAAAATCGTTAAAAATTATTAAAGTGAGTATTATTAAAAAATATTATTAAAAATGATTATTATTAAAAATTATTATTATTAAAAATCAAATGATTATTAAAAAAAGAGACTGGAACGCAAAAGTTACGTTCCTTAGCTTTTGTTCACAACTGACAGCTCAGTGGTAAGGGAAAGGAAACAGCTGCCACAATATTTACAGTGCAAATCATGATGCATGTTGCACAAATAAGAATATAAGTAATTTGATTTATTTGTTTGATTATTAAAAATCAAATGCATACTACTGAAAAACATCTTACGAACTTATAGAAAATCTTAAAGAAAATGTCAGAAAAATACACCGAATCAGTACGAGAGTTGAAATTTCTTCCACACATAATGAAGGAGGGCTTGCAAAACCTAACTCTCACAAGACATGGTGAAGGCAAGAGAGATAGGAGAATTCAACGAGCCACAGACCCAATATGTGTGTGTGTGTAAATGGGTGGCGAAACAGGAGACAGGATCGTTAGTAAAGGTAGTAAAAACTGTTAACGACCACAAGAGAGACATGATTATCCATGCCTCAAAGGGACACAGTACATCGAACAAAAGAACGGAAGATGATGAAAATTATATATTCTCAGAGAGTATGTGATCAACCAGTAAAAATTCCTTTTTACAGGCAGGTTTAGTCCATAGTAGACGCAACATTGTTCTGTTGCGTCAAATGTTTCTTTATCTTTGAGGGGATTGTCTAGCCACTTGGACAACATGCCTATATCAATCTATAAAAGTCAGGATGCGTGTGTGTATGTGTGTATGTGTGTGGGGGGACGAATGGACAGCCGCAATTCTCGACGGATTTCCACCAAAATTTTCATGCACATGCTCCAAGTTAGCGGAAAGGCCAACACCGACATTGCATTTCCCAACTCCCATCGATAGTGTAAATAATCGATTCTTTCATGCTTCTACGGCAGTTTACATGTAGTTTACGGCCATTTTGTACTGGCCAGAGTGAGAGCCTATAGCTGGCTGCCATGAATAGGCAGGAAGATTCTATTCGAATGTTAACTAGCATGATAGCATGCAAACAAAATCGATAGCTGTATTCGTCACAGGTCGGAAAAATATAAATCTGCATGGTACTTTACTCCAATTGACTCATTCGCTTGCTTAATCTCAACATTGATTCTGATTCCGCTGAACTGGGTTGGGTGTGAAAAAGTATTTGTTGTTAACATTCTTTTTTCATTCGGTTTTTCCAGTTACGAGCCCTTTTTTAAAGCTGATCGTTTTGTGTTCATTTTGTTTAGTTTTTTTTTTTTCGTAAAAGATTTAATGTTTAGTATAGCGATTAGAAAAATTTCGAAGTGTGAGATAGGCAAGAAGTAAGTCATGTAGCAACATCAGCACAGCAAAGAGCACTCCTTTAAAGGCAAGGAAGGGCAAAAATATTTTAAGTCAAGTGATAGCGATTGCTGTATGAGTCGTACGATTTTTGAATCAAGCAAGGGCAACGCCGCCATGCTGCTATATATATATATATATATATATATATATTATATATATATATATATATATATATATATATATATATATATATATATATATATATATATATATATATCCGTATGTAAAAGAACAAAGAATAAAATTACAACGTTCAAAATTACAAACAGGGCTCAATTCAAAAGTAGAGCAATAAATATTTATTATCCGCTGTTGCATTATGATATGTAAATATTCACTTCAAAATTGTATATTTTGTTTCAACGTTAAAATAAGCGTTTCTTCTGGTGGCTAACAATAACGATATTCTCATCGTTAGTCACCTGAAAATACTAAAATAAATATAGATATAGATATTTGTATGTGTGTAAAATATATACAGATATTTGTATATATATATATATATATATATATATATATATATATTTATACACGTTTCATTAAATAATATAGACAAGTGTTGTCTATTTATTTTATGTAAAATTTGTTCGTAACATCTGATAAGTTTGATAACATTATCATTAAACGAAGAAAGAAATTCACAATATTGAATCATATTTTTTTAATATAATCTAAGCTTTCGGCTTACTTATATATATATATGCTAGAAAACACACACGTACACACATGCACACACACACACACACACATATATATATATATATATATATATATATATATAAAGACTAAAACATACTAGCAAAATAAAATATGTATGCACACATTAGCGGTTATAAAGAAATACATAGTGTCAAATTAAGGAATGTTTAGAGTATTCTTTGTTCTGTTGGCTGTTTGAGACTTTCTGGATATGGAGTGGAAAAGGTAGAATTCTTTGGGAAAAAATACCATTAAAGAGCTAAAAAACAACATTACGTTTCTGAATATGGCAATTATTCTTTCTTAACTGCGAAATGAAACTGATACATAGCTATCGTAACATTAACATGTGATTTACGTCTTGACATATATTGTTGTAAAAAGAATTCACACATATTTCAGGATATATATATATATATATATATATATATATATATATATATATATATATATATATATATATGCCTCTAAGAAGCCTGATTTGCTTCACCGTATTCGAGGATAGAATTACTTGCAAGTATCAAACATCTGCAATCGTTGCAATTGGTAAGGCCGAAATATTTCTCTGAATGGATATTTAGTAATTTCAAAATATTATCAATATATATATATATATATATATATATATATATATATATATATATATATGTGTGTGTGTGTGTGTGTGTGTGTGTGTGTGTGTGTGTGTGTGCTTGAATATATATAGTACCATAAAAGGCATATATAAACAAATATCTAATAAATTACTTCTGTAAGCATTATATAAATGCATATAAATATATAATAATATCATATATATATATATATATATATATATATATATATATATATATATATATAGATAGATAGATAGATAGATAGATAGATAGATAGATACGTATATATATATATATATATATATATATATATATATATATATATATATATATATATAGAGTAGAGGCCAAAACAAAGTGTATATAAATATAAAATACATATGGATAGACTGATAGACCGACAGACGGACAGACAGATAGATAGATATATAGATATATAAATAGATAGATAGATAGATAGATAGATAGATAGATAGGGTGCGACAAATGTGACGCTCTTTTTATTTACTAACTTTTATTGAACAAAAATAAATTACATATATTTTAAGAAAATTTATAAATTATAAAGTATTACGAGATTAAAAAAAATCCTTAGAAAGAAGAAAAGATTACACAAATCTTACGTTCTATGAGTCTTCAAATATGCCATGAATCCTGGACAATTGTCTCCCGGATAAAGAAGAGAGTTGGAACTACGGAAATTTATTTCTACAGCAAAATACTGGGACTACCATGCAACGAGCATTGAGCAACAGCGAAATCTTTAAGACAAATACACAAAAATAACATGTTTAAAACCAGGAAGAAACAAGATTTCTAGGGCATATATTAAGGAAAGATAGTTTAGAAGATTTGATACTCACAGAACAATGTGAAGACAAGAGGGACGGATGGAAACAACTCACCCAGCAAGAATAAGTAAAGGGAGGGTAGAACAGGATAAAATGTTGAAAAAAGACAAAATCTATTAAGAGCTACAACGAACAGGAAAACAGGCGCGCCATGATCACGAATGCCCTGATGGGTTACGGCACGTGAAAGGAGAAACTTATATTACTCCACTTTATTATACACCCACAAGGGTACAATGATTTTCCAAATGTATCTTAGTTGTTGCACAAGGGCGAAAGAGTGAAGCATTCATGGAGAATCGAATTCACTACTTAGTCGTAATTGATTTAGCGAAATAAGCTTGTTAAACATTACACCACATCGAAGCGCCCCACTCTCAATGTTAAAAATTCAGTATGTTTTAGTTTTTGTGAATTACCAATTTATTGTGATATTTTCAGTACTAGAAATGCTATAAGAACTTTCAATTAAAACTGTAGCACACACGATGAAATCTGTAGTGTTGTGGGCGTGAATCAAAAGTTGACCCTTCCGTAGATAAAGAACAATTGATTAGAAAAGTATATCTGCCCCACAAGTCACGAGATATTCCAGCCAAGAAAATCACTTCCTGTCAAACCACAAAATCCTCGTCTACGATCCTGATCAATACTAAATGTAAAGAATGTCTTTCTCACTCGAGTGACTATAGAAACCTGCTGACCATCACGTGCCACTTTGGATCTTCAACTCTCGAATCAAACTCTATTCCCAAGCAGACATTTAAATTGATTTATCCATCCTCATTTTGTTTTAATTTCAGTAAAATTTATTATGTTCAAAATGTTATGTGTCAGTGAATTTAAAACATTCCATATTTACTACATTTTCCTACGGATATTAACATATACTTTTCACTTAAACTTAATGTGATATTATGCATACATTTATTGAAAAATACTTTATATAAAAGAATAAAACTTTTTTGTGAAGTATATGCATACACCTTGTTTTACAACAACAGTTTAATAGTGAAAGATATTTGTACTTATGGGGGGACAGCTCACTGTACGTCAATGCTCGCAAGTTTAACTCTACAAAAATTAACCAACAACCAAATACAGGCCGCCGGTGAGAGTCCAGCCAAGCATAAATCCACCGACAGCTATAATAAACTAAGGGGAGATAAATAATTTAACACGTTTTATTTATATGTACTGAAAGTAAGAATGTAGTAGTGAGATAGATAGATAGATAGATAGATAGATAGATAGATAGATAGATAGTGTTATGGGACTTTACTCATAACATAATGGACTATTCCATACGTAATAAATACTGCGCCTCAAGAGGAAGCAGGGAGTTTATCCGGGTTCAATGGGCATAATTTTGGCCGAGCCCACGGGCTCGGAGATCCCACGGGCTCGGAGATCCTACGGGCTCGGAGATCCCACGGGCTCGGAGATCCCACGTTAAACCGGCCTAGTGCCACATGATGCCCTCGTGGGGTGGTGACTCAATACCGTTCAGTCCCAAGTCGGGTGACCGGCTGATCGGCTGATCGGTTGATCTCTCTGCCTCCGGGCGGGGGAGGAACCTGAACGAGGCTACACCGAAGGGCGGAGTCTCTTTCGGGGAGGTAAACCGACCCTGAACCCGTTTATACGGGTTCAAAGGGCATATTTTTGGCCGAGCCCACGGGCTCGAAGATCTCACGTTAAACCGGACTTGTGCCACATGATGCCCTTGTGGGGTGGTGACTAAATACTGTTCAGTCCGAAGTCTGGAGTGAAGTCCGTCAAGAGTCAGTCAGTCAGTCGAATCAGAGGCAATCCGAAACAAAAACGTGTTCAGACAATTTCTACTAAACCTTATTGTTCGTACTAACACTTTCTACTTCTCTGTATGTATTCTAGTAATGTAATATATCTGTGTTATTCCATATCCGTGTTCGAGTTCTTCTTTATTGGTTCTACCTTCGACTATCACCGTGGCACAAGGAACCGGCCCATAACAGATAGATAGATAGATAGATAGATAGATAGATAGATATATACGACCCGAGTTAGGTAGATAGTGACAAATATGTAAATCAATTGGCATAGATAAATATATAGATAGATATGAACCGACTGAGGTATATAGAAATTGACAGATATATATGAATTGAATGAGAGATGGATAGATAGATAGACAGATAGATATGAATCGACTGAGGTTGATAGATATGAACCGAGTGAGGTAGATAGAAACTAACAAATAAATAATTAGATTGAGATAGATAGATAGATAGATAGATAGATAGATAGATAGATAGATTATCTGCTTGTAAATAAACTCTCATGTTGCTTCTTTGGTTCATCTCAGTTATTTGGACTTTGATTATGGCTCAACATACCCACTGTCATTCCAAATATCTGTCTATTTTACATAACACTCTTTTCAAACCTGTTTGTTTATTCCAAATTCTTGATTCCTAAATCGAATTAAATTGGATGAATCTTCCAACCTCCAATATTATTCCATTACACTTCTATTTAATTTTAATCCAGAAATGACAACCATGTCAATTAGTATAAGATCTAATAAAGTATAATTATTGTTGTATTACACGCAGGAAGATTTTCATTGTCTTGTGTGGATGTCCAGAGTGCCGTGACAAAATTAATATATTATTGTGTGAATAGATTAGTTTTCGTCTTAGATTTAACATGTTTTCGCTACTAATTACGATATCTGAGATAGGCTGAGATTAAAATCTAATCAGCATTTCCCAGAACTATTTTCGGCAAATTTGTCAATTTTGTTAACAGAAATTTCACCCTAGCATAAAACCAAGTACAAACACGCATTAAATCAAGGACGAATGCAACGGCTTTTTCGTTGAGGTAGATGAATATTCGTTATTTTTGTTGAAGTTTAAGCAGTTTTAAAAGCAAAGATGTTGCGATTTTCAGTCAAGTACCTCTTTCAAAACAATACATTATCACGTAATTTACTTTATCGCTTGCTCGTACTCCAGTATAAGCTTAATTAATATTTATAAAGAATTTGTTTTAAAAAGTCTTTAAAAGGAAAGGATCTAAAAAGACCTGAAGAAAAAAAATATCGAAGCTTTTAATTATCGCCCTAAAACAGCCAATGTCACTCTTTTAATGAATGTTTTGAAAGGTGTGCAAAATGATCATCTACCACCATCTGACACGCTTGTTAATAATCTGAGCTTAAAATGATGATTTTTGAAAGCTTCATTACGCGTCCTTGTAAATGATGAATTATTTTCCACCTTTCCAACCACATTTCTACAGAGAAAACATTGTAAGCCTCTCGCTGTTCTATCGCTATTTGCATGGAAAGCGTTCGGACGAACTAAATTTCTGAGTTTTAACAGTTTTAAATTTCACAGCTAAGATCCGCCATGCCACGAACATATTCGTATTCCATTGGTGTTATATAGATTCCACACTAATAGCTTCTTGCCATAAATCCTAAGCTGTGGTACTGACTCTCAAGAAAATACCACCTCGATCAATACAATCTTAAATTATTCTTATCTTTATCTTCTCCACATATCTCCATAAACTGTTCCTCTGTAACACTCTATCTTGAGTAGCTCTTGGGTCATTTACAAAGTGAACAACGTTATAAAAAAAACAAAAACAGAATAGGATCACGTTGTTATTTAGGAATTCGGATTAGTATTTTGGCTAGAAATTTTAAAGTTATATTTTGTATAATTATATCAATCGGGAGCTGATGATTAATAATCTGAAAAGAAGAAAGACAGATATCAAGAAAACACAATGACGAGGTGGGCAAATAATTATAACGAATAAAAGAAAATGAAAAGAGAAATATTTGGGAAGACCGATATAAAACAATATAGCCTAATGATTGGAAAATATTTTATTTCATAAAAGAAATATATTAACATAATCCTCTTCCATATCCGGGCATCAAGTTAAGCTGTGAATATTAATCACATAGATTTAGTGTTATATCCAGATAATTCAGATCAAATTTTAGCTATTAACCCGTTAATCTCTACCGGGAAATCTGTAGATAGATATTGAAATTAAAATAGAAATCCAGTATAATTTATACGCTCAACATAAATAGGTCTCTAATTAAAAAAAATAATAATACCAGGTCAAATACAATGGAAACATAGATTGGTATTAACCTAAAAAATAATTTCTTATAAAAGAAAATCAATTAATTCTTTGTAAATTACTTTGCATACCTTTTAGATGCAAAAAAATGTTTAAAGATTTATCCTTAGAAATAACCCAGCCAGAGATCTGCATTTCTTCAAAAGGCTACTGAACATTCCTTTGCTGTGTGGTCATTTTTATGTGCTCAAATAGACACCTATCTTAAAAGTGGCTATCTCAATATGAGGGGGACGCAGGAAACAGTTTCTTCATTAAGACTTTCAATTGACTAGGCCGGTAGAAGTTATTTACATTGTAAAAAAAATGATGTCTACTCAAACTCGTGAAGCAAATATATTTGCTTGTCGACATAATTTTCCTTAAGACATTTGTGTTGCATTTGAGCCCCGGTGACACTTAAGTCTGGAAAATGCATCTTTCAGTTTTAATTAAACCGAAGTAATATTTTGGCCAAATAAACAAATATATATATATTTTTAGTGTAAAAATGCAATGCAAATGGTGACGGAAAAGAATCAGTTCGAAGAAAAGAAATGGTTGAACATCTATATAATAAATCAAATTTAAAGAGAGATTGATAGAGAAAAATCATTATAAGTTCTTTTTACATGCCAACGAAGTATCAGTAATAGCTTGAAGCCATGCCGTAACAAACTATCACCTTGTCAAATAAGAAATACCTGTCACCCCAATAGGGCAAACAATATCGGAATTATGAACTGGTTAATATTATCACTTACCAGGGACATTAAGGTTAAATACGGCGCATAACCCTCACGCTTGATGCTAACTCCTCCCGACCCCGAGTTCTCTACCTATTAGTTCACGCTCAGATTGTTCGTCTAATACATCATATATATGCATTCTGACATTTCCTGTCTGTTCAACCCATCTGCTCCGAGATTATTTCTGTCGCTAGGGAAAGCACTATTTAGCGCTATCGGAAATGGGAGTCAAATTGACTTGGATTTCGAAGAACTCGTTAATATCCTTATGTTCGATAGAAAAGCGCATTACAAATGTTTTCGGGCAAAGAATGCATCATAGTAGTAAGACTGTAGAACTTTAAGGTCACTGTTGTTCGACAAATATAGTGGGTATTTCTAACTTAAAAAAAAAGAAGTTAAACCGATTTGTTCTCATTCTGATTCAAATTATCTGTGAACGTTAAAAAATTTTTGCAAGGATCTTTACAAAGGATAATTTAAAATTAGGAATAAATATATGCACAAATATATGAAAACAAAGCTGGGGGAGAAACTAGGTTAAGGAAAATATTTTTATTTCCTTCTTTTTTATTTGTTATATGCTTCAAACGTTATTATATTGGACAAACGTATTTGCAATGACCGCCATTTTATTTTACTTTCAACAGTGTGAATTACCTCTAATGGCCTGAAAAAAGGAGGCGCAAGTGCGATTCCTACCGAAGAGTACAATTTTTTATAAATATTTCTCGAATAGATAGACATAATACAAAAAGTAGAACTAACAAGTAGAATTAAAAACAAATTTTATTAAAAAATAAAGTAGAAATGAAAAGTAGAATTAAAAACAAATTTTATTAAAAAATAAAGTAGAAATGAAAAGTAGAATTAAAAAAGGGGGCGTCTATTTCAAATATGAGTATCCATTATAATAATTTTAGAAGTAAGAAAAATGTCGGAATGAAAATAAAATCTTCAGAAATCACTTTCTTTACATTTCGGATAGGAAACTGAGCAGATATTGGCTTTTGGGGAAAAGAAAAAAATAAAGCCTTCCTGAATTTGTCGCCCTTCGGATCTCCTATGAGGACGAGTGCAGGTTCGATTCCTGTCGGTGGGCACATTTTTTTTTTCATTAAGATTTCTCGGGTACGCAGGCCGAGAGACGTTATACCCATTTTTAAAAATAAAATTTGGGCATCTATTTAAAATACGAATATCCACTATAATAACTTTTGAAGTAATAAAAATGTCAGACAAATTTCTTCAGAAATATATTTATTTTTTTATTACCTAATTTGAATATAAAAGCTTGGAGCGATAATATTTTGTTATATTTTTCGATGTTTCGATCGAAGTCTTCGCTCTTACTATCTTTTACTGTTAATATATTTATGTTCATATTTATTTAAGGTAAACTTCATTGAAAACAGCAGACATTTGTATTGGTTAATTTTATCGATTGACTTCTCCAAATTACGCATAATCCTTCTCAGATATGTAAGAAATTCTGTAAGAAATTGTCCAAAGTTAATTTCCGAAGAAATATAGTTCAATATTTCGATTTCCTGGGCCATATTGGTTGCTTTATGACTAAGCTTTTAGGAACACTTCATAGCTGCTAGACGTATAAATGTGCATTTACTGTTTCATTGTGTTTGAAGAACAAGAAATGAAATATACCTCGAGGAAAGAATCAGCGAATAATATTGCCATGGAGCTCAAATTTTGGATTTGGTCGTGGATAATTCTTATAGCCAAATCTCAGCATGTTGCGTTGGACATTGTTCTATGTAATACATTTTTCATTATATACTAAAATATATTTAAGAAGAAATAGTTACAAATTGCTTACCGAAGACGTAAATTTCTAATGATTTTGCCGAATACATTTCTGCTAAAAAAAGTTGTCTAAATATCCCATTAGAATAGGTGTCACAAAAGTTGTTGTATAGATCTTTATAATGTTAATCAGTTTACCCCAAGCACGGCGATACTTCCACTATGAATATATATATATATATATATATATATATATATATCAATCATTCGAAGACAGTATTATTTCGCTGAATCACAGCTAGATAAACGAAGGCTTTCAAGCCAGGATCGAAACCCAACCGATTTGGCCTCAGTCAGAGATTCTACTACTTAGCCATCTTCACTCTAGCGTATTGCTTTTACAAACGTAAACAAACGCCAAGCAACCAAAGTACTCCATTCATTTTACTGAAGAGCTTCGCATTTTTACGCAGTTAACCGTTGATTTTAGAATTATATATATATATATATATGATAGCCTCTTCCGTAAGAAGTAAGAGTTTCCGACGAACACGTACTAATTATCTGCATGCCTATGACGGATATGACTTTTAAGGCGGCTCGAGAATTGCACAAAATACAAACAGTACACAAGAAAGTATTGAATGCAAGTGCAGCAGGAACACTGTTAGCAGTTTAATTTCGTTTTCTTGTTTCTCGCAGTCGAATGATTCTTAATTTGCCTTTGTTTTAATCAGTTCACCCCAAGCATGGCGATATCCCACTATGACGCAAGTGACTTCTGGGAATGAAAGATAATGGGAACACTTTAGAAAGAACCGGAATCCTAAGCCTCAAGAGGAAACAGGGGAAAAACCTTTATACCAGGTCAAAAAGAAAAAAAACGGAGAGAAGTGCGAACCGGACGATATACGGACCTGTTTACTACTATTAAACTGACATGATATGGTTCTTTAAAATGAATATATTAGATATAAGTACATGTATTTCTCAATGTAAAATTCACAATTCCCTATGCAATTTACAAATTACAAGTGCTAAATACGCTCCTTATTATACATACAATTTGTTTTTGGTATTTATTTAAATTTCTATCTGCTCTCGAGAAAGTTGCATTGGAACGGAATTTTAAAGAACCACGTCAAGAAATAAATGAATAAAATGGTAAAAGTCCAAAATCTTCGTCCTTTCATGATGAAATAACTACAAGAATATAAAGAATAGACAGAAAAAGAGAAAAGAAATATTGGCGCCTTCTTCGCATTTTGTGCAACTGTATCAATTTATCCCATCGAGCGTTTGTTCTCCGCCCTCGGGGGAGCTTCTGCGAAAGCTATTACAAGCAGCTGTAATAACGGAGGGGCCGAAATCAGAGAAGAAATTTTGGAAATATCAAGAATTTTTTCCCGCTGCCTGTTGTCTGTTAGCGCTGCAAAATAAACACACATGGATCTCTGCTACTTTTTGTTGAACTTGCCTTTTCAATGAGAACGTATTTCTCTTTTGATGCAATTTTATATGCTTCTTTTACACACACACACACACGCATATATATATATATATATATATATATATATATATATATATATATATATATATATATATTGCCAGTAGCATATGATTAGCGTGTTGAGATCTAATTCCGGCTATTGCGTTTGGTTTTTAAAAAAATACACTTGGAAAAGTATGAACCTACCTCACAGCTAGAGATTACAAACTAGTATTTCTTGCCTAGTTTGTCAACAAGTCGAGGGAAATGAAATATATAAATTCAAAACTGGTTGTGCGCGGAGTTAGAAAATCCAGTATAAACGTATTGGCTACAGAACACACAACAGCAAAATCTAACATGGCATTGAACGGACGATTCTACCGGAAAATACTCCCTCACTCTCTCGCTCTCTTTCTCTTTCTCTCTCCATATATATATATATATATATATATATATATATATATATATATATATAGAGAGAGAGAGAGAGAGAGAGAGAGAGAGAGATTTAGGGATAACATGCTCAATATCAGAAATAGAGCGTTTTAAATATAAAAGTGAACACATTGAAGTCATCGCTCGTAAGCGACAGGGTTTTTATGCTAAACTCAATAGTCAGGCCACCATATATATATATATATATATATATATATATATATATATATATATATATATATATATATACACTCTCTCACTCTCTCTCTCTCTCTCTCTCTCTCTATATATATATATATATATATATATATATATATATATATATATATATATATGTCATCTGCAGACAGTACTGTTTCGCAGCTCCTTAGTGCGACTAGACAACCGAAACACAACAGATTTGTTGCCAGTCAAACTTTCTACCACTGAGCCATACTTACTCGACATAACGAATCAGTTAAATCTAGTATACTGCTTTTACAAACGTTAACAAACGCCAAGCAGCTATAGTGCTCTATTTATTTTACCGAAGAGCTTCGCATTTTTACGCATGTGACCGTTGTTTTTAGAATTGTATATATATATTAAGAAATGGACAAAGTCCGACAATTTATTTATTAAAGACATTTTTTATGTTTAACGTTCTTTTTTATAGATACAAGTATTTAAGTAAATGCTCTGTTTATAATAAACAGAATTAAATAACATTTACCGGCCTGAATGTCCGAGAAATTTTCATAGAAAATATTCGTCCTTTGACAGGATTCTAACCTGCATCCTATACGGAACCGTCATTTACGCTGACGTGCCTTAACCGTCTCGGCCACAAAGGAGCGTTCGGTAGGCAAGTTTATAAGCAGTAAATTCGACCTTGCATTTACTTAAATACTTGTATCTATAAAAAATAACGTTAAACATAAAAAATGTCTTTAATAAATATATATATATATTTTTAAACGTACAAAATCTAATTAAAGAAATGAAAGTGGGTAGCTTAATATTACATGACAATTTGTAAAAACGAAGAATCCGGTTTCACTCCCGCTCTTCAGGCCTCTACGTGAGATTTAACTTCGATTAAAATAACAAGAGAATGTGAAATGAAGAGGATAAAAAAAACAACACAAAGAGCTAGAGTCAAATAACAGCGAGCCCCAACAAACATTCACGCTGTTTGCACCTGGTAGGTTAGTGGTAATGGTAATATTTGTTTAAACGTTTCTTTAAAAGAAAACATTCGACATTCATTCACCAAAACGACAGTGTTACTGTCACTTAGAATTTAGAAAATCTTTCTTTTACTAAATTTTTTTTCCAAGAACATTATTTACTTTAATCCATGAACTGTTATCTCCCTTCCTATTATTAAAGGGATTTTCTTTCCTAACTGATGGTTCACGTCAAATTCTTGATTGTGACATTATTTTCTGTTCGTCTTACATTCGCTAACCATTTTAGTTTTTCTGGTTTTGAACGTCTTCAAATGATTTTGTTTCTGTTATTTAATAAATCCTTTACCAGCAATAAGATCCTTTTTGTGTTCATAGATACGTTTTTTTTTAATTTTTTGCAAGTTTCCCCAATATATTGTAAGGAAAAGTTGCGAGTTTAATTTATTTATACCTACTTCAGACTTATTATTATAAGGATCTTATGCATAACAATTTATCAAATGCATTAGTCATACATAAACATAGGACCAACCACAACGTCTACCTAAAGAATGCCATAATTATCAAAAGAGAAAGTAACTTATTTAGACGGAAATTCTTGAAAATGCCGCTATCGAAAATTTCCGAAATATATATCCGTGCTTCGGATTTTTTTCAAATATCTTCCGTCCTAAATTATATATACCTTTTCTAAGTCAACTTACATGAGTATAAAGAATTAAAGAAAGATTAAACGAAAACAGTTCAATACTTTCTACTAATTCAAATATATTAATGCATAAATTAATTTCCCAAAATAAAATTGATTACATGAAGAAAAACTTCAAAAAACAAAATAACAACATTTACACTCTTTTATTTGCCATGAAATTATATCACTTAGCGTCCTTCATAGTTTAACCTTACATTCAATTAGCCTGAAATATATTCATGAGTGTTGTTAAATTTAATAATTTTGAAAAGAAAATAAATTTTTACTTCGGTTTATAAATACTGGTTGCAAAATTAAATCCTTCCAATTAATTGATAAAGTCCATCTGAGGAAGAAAAACATCAGCAAAAAAGTTTTTGTTTTGTCTTTTTAGATATGTTTTTTTTACAGATATATATTTTTATATCTTAATTTTTACAGATTGACGATATGGAAAAGGGAAACATACGAGAGAAAGTTAAAAATTATGTGAACACTTTTTCTGATTTTCTTTTCAATTCAATTTAAACAAACGCAGGTGTTAAACAAATAAGTTTTTATACATAGTCTTCTTTCTATTCGATCCTTAGTCCAGCGGTCCACAAGCCCGAGTGTTCCCTCCAAGAAGAAGATATTTGGTTGATTGCACAACATTTATGCACCACTTCCCGCGTTACTTTATCAGTAGGAAATTAATGACCTCGTAAAGCATGTTTGAGCAGTTAAAAGCGGTGTTAGTGTGAAGGCTCGAGATCTCAGCTGTAGGCAATGTATTCCAACGTATCAAAACCCAGTTAGTTAATAGATTCAACTGTCTCACCGTCGTTAGATGGGCATGCATCAAAACTTTCTTCGACAATAGGCTTCAGCGTTTGATGCGAATTTCTGGCATCAAATTGTTTGTAAAACACTGTAGCTTTCACTATTGATCGTACACCGCTTTTCCAGGCATACTTCCACGATAGGCTGAGCTCAAAAAGCGGTTAGCAGCAATTATCCCGCTGAAGACTGAAGAACATTTCGAATCCATACTCTGTCTTTTGGACTCTGGCTCAATTTGAGAGAACCACGTTTCAACTCCTGCCTATACAAACCTCTTCATGCTTTCGCTTGTTCTCTGCGATAAGATCTTTTGGTACCCTTTTTGCACAAGTGTCATAAATGATTTGATAGACAGAACGATGACTAATCTTCAGAGAACATGATATCTCATCGAAGATAACTAGCCAGTTCGCCATTACCATCTCATGCTGAATCTCCCCGTCATCGGTGGAGGTTAACGAGCACACTGTTCCTTCTTCACACATATCCGGCCACTTTTAAACTTCACGATTCACTCATACACACTTCTAGGCAATAATGCACTATCGCCGTGTTTTGTTGAAAACCTCAGATGAATTTTAGCTGCTGACACACCTTCCGACGAGAGAAATGGGTTCACTGCTCTTTTATCACTTTGGTGCACATAGTTAGCAGGGCGACTATGTTTACACTGTAACAGCAGCTAGAATGCTCGCACGATCAAGCTCAAACTTTAATTACACGACCATAATGGTGCCATCTATGAACACCTGAATGCAAAAGTCGGTGTAACAACCCTTAAGATATGTTGTGGCGAAAATGTAGATAGTTTTTTGACTTATGCAGCTGTTGTAACCTAGAAAAGGTTACTGAATTTGGAATAATCAAAACGGAGGTTGGAAATAAAATGGTAATGTTTATACCAGCAACAAAATACAATACTCGCCAGCGTCATGAAGTAGGTAAACCACTGCTAGTGGTCGACTACTAAAACAGCATATTATTCCCTTACAATAGTGTCCAACGTATTTATGAGGATTGGAACATACCCAAATATAACAGTACTTAATTCGAAGATACAAACAAATATTAATATCCGTACTTTTCTGACTAAACTTAAAAACTTCATTGATGAAAAAGGGATTCCTAAAAGTTCACACAGATTACTTCTCATCACATAATTCCGCTATATGGGGACGAATTCCTGAAATAATCCGCGTATGAGTTGAATGAACAAGAATTAATACATTTTGAGAAAGCTTACAAAAAAGGAAATGATCCCCCCGATAACCACAATGTCTTAAATAAATACTGAGAAAATCGATCAATTAAATAAACAATCCACAGTTTTGAAAACAAACTAAAACATGAGATTTCAAAAGTAAATTGTCTAGAATTAAAGAAAGCTGCAAATGATAGTCTAGACTATAAGTCAGCAGAGACGCTGTTCTAGTGGGAGGGAACCAGTAAAAAATACTCCTGATGAGTTGAGAGAAGATTTGGAAGATAATTTCCGAGCAAAGCATTTTATTTATCTGGCGATAGATGACAATACCTCTGATTCATTGAAGAGAAGTGGTTTGTTCATGTTCAACACACGCATTTGCATTAATCACCAGAACGGAATTTGAGAGAGGTTATATAGTGTCTCATTCTCTCAGGGAATAATGACT